AGAACATCTAAATATCCAGTTTGGTGACTGAATTTTGTTGTTCATACATATTTTATACATTTTTATTCAAGGAATGAGGTATGAAATTAGAATTCTATATAGTGTTTCTAAAGCATTCTTACTTATCTTCTACTGTAGATTAAATTGGATCATGTTTTGTTCTACCTCAACATTCAATTTTTGTTGGTCTATTTCTTCATACATAGTATGTTATATATACCAATAAAGAATATTTATCACAATTATTTGCTTTTCACCAAATACAATTGCTTTAGCTACAGTCGTGTTTTCTTATACCCATATTGAGCGATAAGTAGTGATAATAATTACATAGGTATGGCCTTATATATGCAGTTTTTGCCTTTCAAAATTGTCAGTCACAGTTGATATACTTGCTCTTTACAAAATAACATCTCATGATACTGTTGTAGTTTTAACATTAAAGGATCATCGGTTATTAAGATCTATAGAACATATTAAGATCTAGTTCTCTTTAGATTTTAAATGCATATTCAAAAGTATACAAAATGCATACACAAAAGTTCAAAATTCTATACGAGAACAGAAGGTATGTCTTTCATTTCTCTCATTCTGAATTTTGCTTTTCATTAATCTTATATCACTAAAATATTATTACAAGAGAAAGTCAGAGTCAGTCTCTTTGATTCCTCCGACATTTTGAGCACAAAATTCAAGTGCCAACACAAACAAAGAAATCAATCTAGGACTCCAAAAGGAGTTGCAACAAGTAAGACGAAGAGCAAAAGAGATAGTAACTGATGTAGTTGCAGGGAACACTGAAGCTGGACACGTGAATTACTCATGAATGAGCACCGGATCCCATTTATAACTTAGGCCATAATGATATTTATCCTTTTATTCTAGAATTACTCTAATTTATTTTTTATATCAAATCTATGTTATCATGTTGTTTTAATTTCGTGAATAACTTTTTATTTATCCTAAAATTTACATTAGATAGAATTAAACTTGTAAGAATCAAATTACTGACATTTTTATATGCTTTGTCGATCCTCGTAATGTGATCCGTGAACCCTATTTGTGGAAAACTAAGCAAAGTGAACCACGAAATTCTATGTTCTAGTCGAAAAATACTTGAGATCTGAAGAAATGAGTGAGGCAAACGTAAGCCTAGCATTAGCTAGAGCATTGGATAATGTATTATTAGGCAATCAACGGTGTTCTAACCAATGCAGAGGCAACATCAGTAGCAGAAGCTATACGGAGATGACTAACGATCTCATAGCACTAATGGCAGTACTTAGTGTGCAAAAATACAATTCATACGAAAGTAAGTATGCGGAAAAAGGTAAGCGCAGAGGTAATTCACAATTATTGATTTCTATGACTAAATCCATAGAACTTAGAATTAAAATTTAAGGAATCCAGGATGAAGTGGTCGTGATCTAGGCAGTAATAGTGGGAGGAAGTTTTCATTGCATACTGCTATACAATGAAAGTATAGAAAAAGTGTTGTATGACGAGGCATTTGATCAAATGCAGAAATACTCAACCTTTGGATTCATGAGTCAAAACCTTATCACTTTACCTCGAGGATGTCCAGTCATTCTCGGTCAGGCCATTTTGTCGGTAAATATAGGAGAGGTACCCCCAAGCATATGAAGGGTATATGACTTTTAATATCATTAATGATAAATCAGCATATGATGGAATCCTTGAAAAAATTGCATGAAACAAGCAAATATAAGATGCCTCCCTCAATCGTATGTGAGATATTTTATGAATAAAGGTAAAATATCCTTAAAGTATAATCAGGGAATCTTGCACAGAAATCATGAAGGTAACCAAAAATGAGACATGAGAGCTCCTAAGAATAACATTGCCAAGTTGAAATGAGCAACTGGAAAAACTAGAGATTGATGACTCTATCAACTACTCATAACTGATTGCATGTTAAAAGTGAGTGCAACGAAAGAGCTATAAAGTTTTTTTTGTTAACTCAGAAGATAAGAGCAAAGATCTGAAATTGATAAGGAATTAAGCAAGCCTATGAAAGGATTGCTAAAAACTTCCTAGCTGCAAACCTGTATATGTTTGCCTAAAAGCACGCTGATATGGTGGGAATAGATCCTAAAGTCACCATCGCACTATAAAATTCGATCCAAAGATTAAACCCAAGATGCAGAGGTGTCATCGAAGGAGCGACGAAAAAATATGAAGCATTGAGAAGCAAAGTGGTTAAGCTATTTGAGAATGGTTTCATCTAAAATGATAAATACCCCGTATGGGTGTGTAATTTGATCCTTGTACCAAAAAATAGTGGAAAACGACGTGTTAAGATTTCACAGACCTAAACAAAGCTTGTCCGAAAGACAACTTATCGCTTTTCAGAATTGATATGCTAATGGATGCAACTGTGGGGCATAAGTTGCTAAGTTTCATGGATGCATATTTGGGATATAATCAAGTTCCTATGTATGGACATGGCAAAGAACATATTGCATTCATAGCAAATTCGGGATTATACCATTTTAAGGTAATTTTGTTTAGGTTCAAAAATACAGGGACTACGTACCAAGGGTTAGTAAACAAAATATTTGCTGAGCATATTGGACAAAATATGAAATATATATCGATGATATGCTTATGAAAAAGCCTTCATGCTAAGGACCATTTGAAACATCTAGAAGAGGCTTTCAACATATTGTGAGAATACAGGATGAAAATTAGGGTGTGTTTGAGCCTCATTATTTGGCATTAAAATGAGATGAATAGTATTTTTTTTAAAAAAAATGAGTGGTTGAAATTTTTTTGATTTACGTGTAATATTATTTTATTGAAGATTGTGTGGTTAAAAAAATGAGATAGAAAATTTTTATTTAATGTAATGAAAGATAATGGGGCTCAAACAGGGGCTTAATCCCTTTAAATGTACGTTTGAAGTTAAATCCGAAAATTTGCTAAACTACATGATCAAATCAACTAGGTATTGAAGCAAATTCTGACAAGATTCAAGGCCTCACAAAGATGTGATCCCTATCTAAACCAAAAGAGATGCAAATTCTAACAAGAAGGGTTGCTTCCTTAAATAGGTTCATATCATGAGAAACGGACAAATGCTCCCCTTTCTTCCAAATATTGAAAGTAGAAAAAAGTTCAAATGGAACAGTGGATGTGAGCAAGTATTTCAAGCTTTAAAAGATCATTGGGAAAAGCCCCCATATTAGCTAAGCCTAAAATGAGGAGAAACTGTTGTTACGTTTGGTAGTTTCTAAAGTGCAAGAAACAGAGGTAAGATTAACAAATATAGAAAAGCTAGCCTTTGAATTAGTTACAAAGTTGTGAAAATTGAAACCCTATTTCCTGCGCCATATCATTGAAATGTTAACTAATTCCCCACCCATGCAAGTTTACAAAAAGCCTAATGCATCAAAGAGGCTAATGAAATGGATAGTAGAGCCAGGGCAATTTGATATAAGTTATTAAAGAGTGGTCTGCAATCAAAGTACTAGTTGATTTTTTATAGAATTATTAGATGTTCCTGTTCCCAAGAAAGAGCTTTTCCTCTGCTCTGCGAAATCCTTCATCGAGACTTCCATGTCGTCGCAAAAAATTATGAACGGCCATCATTGCCACAACAACAAAAGTTTGCGCTCTGAGCGAGTAGCCCGATATTCGATTAAGAATTTTCCATCTTTACTTCCAATCGCCGAACGTCCGCTCAATAACACTATGGCAGGAGGAGTGATGGAAATTAAGCCTCTCGGGGGCATTTCGGAAACATCGTCGACCACCACTGTTGTTTTGAAATTCCTAAAAGTGATACCGTACGTTCCTTTGTACGGGGCCATGTACACCATTCGATGTGCAAAACCCGAGTCTACTAAGTAGTACTTCCCATTCCTCGGTTCCAAAAAATTCACATCCGGGCTACTGACGCAATGAGCCAGAACACGGCTGTCGTGGGCATTCCCAGGTGTTCCAGGCATTACGAACGTAAAGCACAAGTTGAAAATCACAAATGGCGAGCACGTTCTGAGTTGGATATCCTTTCCTGCTGATGAAGTCCATCATTTTATGTCGCGACAGAACCGCACAAATGTGCATGTCGTCAATCGCACCAATGCAGTCCTGCACGCTAAACAATAGTTCAGCAAGGGAATAGTTAACAATGAAAATGAGCACTTTGTTATGCAAATGATAGGGAGGACCTAACCTAAAATAGTGGATACTGGGCATGGTTCGGACGGTGATGAAGCATGCCGTCATTGTAGTCGTGGTGTGGTTTTATAGTGTTGGCTCCTAGCGATACGACGCAACGAAGGACGCGCTTGAAATACTACGAAATGGTTTGTAAAGAATGATCGAATAGGGTCTGAACTTGGCGATATCCTTTCCCGTGTGCTAAAATGCATAGGAACACTCCAACTTGTTTGAATATATCTACGTTTGAACTACTCGTCAATTTGTAATGATCGAGAATGGTATGAGTGAAGTTTGCGAACATGGAGGGATACATTCGAAACTCTTGGAAGCATGTTTATGGGTACACATGCATATTCTGTAACATGAAAATATGCCCGCTGCGTGTCGTAGGAAATAAGAATCGCTGCTCCCTGCTCGGTGAGAGGTAATCTTGCACAACGCGTTCGGCGATTCGACAGTATTGCAGCCATTCCAATACATCCTCTTCCATTTGTTGCACGATATCATCATCCGACTCTTCGTTCGAACCAAAGAGTGAAGTGATACTACAGTCCATTTCGAAAGACGAACTACGAGGAGAGTCGTCTATCATCTGCAATAACGACGTATTGGCTAGCAGAGGCTATACTACTGCAAGAGGACTTGGGATGCTTACATTGCCATCCTAAATGAATTATTGTTCCACTCTCTGCCAACTTACAAGTTCCATTTACGTTTGTTGCAAGGCCTTTTACAGAAGTGGGAATATGTTATAGCATGACCAACAGACACCCACCACACGTTTATGCAACTGTACTAGAGGTTGACATGAGTGGCCAATTTCAAAAGAGGAATATATTCTCTACATGGTACAGGGAATATATTCCTCATGCATGCTTTCATAGATAATACATAAAAGAAGTTCATGCAGTGACCCTACTTTGTAAACTATAATTATTACAAAGTAGGAACAACATGTCTCCAAGTCTGGACACACGACATATGATGGTAGGAAATACCCAAAATTATTGGTAACATATACGAATACAAACAATTGGACCTACATAATAAACTCACACATACACAAGCAACAGTCAACTACAGTCTGGGCCAACTCCTTGAAGACTTTACTTCCTTCGACTCCTTGTCGCGTTTGAAATAGTACTAAATCCATGCAAAACGAAGCTTCGACATTTTAGCAGCAGCATATGCTGCATGGTTGGTGAAGTCATGAAAGAACCACAAAGCGAACAAATGAAGCTCGTCCCCACTTTTGACGAGGGCGGTAGATAGCAAATCATTCAGCAAATCATTCAAGCATTTTGCTATTGTCATTACACCTTTGTCTTGGGAGCAAAGGATAGATGTAAACTCCCATGACGCACTGGCCAAATTGTCCACAGATTCGGAAAACTCCCTCGCTCTGAACTCCTTCTTCTTCCCCGTCCCCTGCGCCTACTTCCCTTTACTCTTCTCACCACTTCGGCCAACGAAAATGTCCATCAAAGAGTTCAATCTGCCCTTCGCCGGCCCATCACTTGAGTCCGTAGTCTTTGCATTGATCGACAGCATGTCATTGAAATCTGCTTGTGCATCACAGTTTGAGCTCACATCGAGATCGTGTTGTGAGAGTTTCGTCGGCGTTAATGCGTACTTCGTAGAGTCTAGAGTGGCACCAAACAGTTTTCCATATGTGTGGAAAATTTCACTGTTGTCGTTGTAGCGGAACTTCCCGTACTTTGGATTCTCCTACACAAAAGGTATGAACACGTGATTAGAACACAGTACAAATTCAAAAATGTTGCTAAGTACACATCTCACAGGCAGCAAACCAGTTATGGAAGCACACAGAACGACTGGCAACATTGTCGCACACGAATGATAGAAACCTTACAGTTGAGCACAATTCTCACAGGTAGCAAACCAGTAATGGAAGCACAAAAACCATGCAAGCGTTTTGATACTCACAAATGCAGGTTGCATCATGTGTATTGGTAGTTACCATTATAAGACATTTTTACCATATTGTGTTTACTCAAGGTGATGGACCAAATGACTATTCTCAAACATCAATGGAATATGGCTACCACGCAATGCATATGGACACGAGAATGTGACATTAGGCAAAACGTTACGAAATTCCAACTTAACGTTTTCAAATCAAGGTTATGCAACAACATGTTACTGTTGAAACAGAGGCAACCATATGAATGTTGAAGCGGAGAAATGGATTTTGCAGAATGTATTACCTTTATTTTCTGCTCCCACCACCAATCATCTGCTTCGATTCTGCCCCTTGAGTTCAGCCTGTAGTGAATCCCTGAACATCGAAGCAACTCTAGCAGGAGGTTGTGATCTGTTCGTAATGCCCCAGTGGTTCTTCAGTTGAGTGATTGTCCAATCCTTCCTAGCACGTTTATTGAACAATTCTCGGATGCGCTCCCATCTGGCAGTTGTAAAGCATTTACCACGACGATGTCCTTTGGCAGTTACGTGCTCTGCCACGGAGATGAAAATGTGGTGTTCTTGGGGATCCCACTTTGCACACTTTCGGGTGTCGATCCTCCTGTCGGATCGCCGAGAAGGAGTTACGCGGGTATTGGTTCTGTCCCCATGGTGTTGTAGCTCTGTGAATGATGAAGAAACATGGTTAAATAGCAGATACAGAAGTAAAAGGGCAGGAATTGATGAAAACAGAGCCTTCAATGTCTGCAAGTTTCGAATGCAAGATGTTCACAAAAGGGTGGAGGTTCGGAGTCGGGGGTAGAAGCGTACCATGTTCGCTAGAAAGTAGCCCCAGTACGAGCCTTCGTCGTCCATGCCGTGAAAATGAGAGTGGAGGTGCCGTCGAAAGTTCGGGCGTGACAATTGTGTTTGTGTCGCAAGAGAACAGATCGGCAGATCTTCGACTTTCTTGTCAAGGGGGTTTAGGTCTAGGCGTGTTAAAAGGTACCCTAATGTCGACGGAGTCGACGTGTTTGAGTTGTTCGGCGACTGCACGGATTGAATTTGGAGGCCATCTTCGAATGGAAGGAGAAACTGTGCAAAATTTGGGAGCAAATCGTGACTTTGGCTACAAAATATCAGGGAAGGGACATATTGGTAAATTGGTGTAGCCATGTGGGGGAGAATTCTGTCCTTTTGGCCCTAACGTTCACTTTGAAAAATGGGCTATCTACAGACTGATAAAATGAGTTTATAGAGGTGGCTCCCACCTAAGTCAAAAAAGTGGGTTGAAAATTTGCAAATAATGTAATTTAACGTGAGATAATAGGGCTCAAACAGGGGCTATGACACATAATTCCAAGGAAAAAATCTTAAGGCAACGTGTGAAGAGCTAAGTATCTAGAGACATTTCTCCACTTTGCACTATCCCCAGCCAATGGACAAGTTGAAGCTATCAATAAAATGTTAAAAAATATGCTGAAAAGGAAGTAAGATACGACAAGGGTTATGGGCTGATGAACTCCCATAAATTTTATGATCATACCAAACTACTACAAAATGATCACAGTAGAAACCCCTTTCTCTAGTGCATATAGAATGAAAGCTATGGTACTAGTTGAAATTGGAGTTGCTTTGACAAGAAAAATAGGATACGAAAAGGAACAAAATGAAGAAGCCATGAAAACGAAGCTAGACCTCTTGGAAGAAAAAGGGATGACTCTCAAAGCAAGTTGATGACGTACCAAAAGAGGATGGAAAAACATTTCAACTCCAGAGTTCACAGAAAACTTTAAGTGTGGGACTTAGTGTTAAAGAAAGTATTTGTTGTAGATAAAGAAACGATTTCTACTTTGCTTGACCCAAAGTGGGACTTACCATATGTAATAGTCGAAGTTGCGTAATCAGGAACATATAGGCTCACCGAAAAAATGACGAACCCGTTCAACATCCCTGAAATAGTATGTATATAAGAAAATATTATCAGTAATGTGGAATTATCTCCTTTTGCTGGACAAACTCAATAAAGTTAATTGCAAACTTGCTTAAGTCTAATGTTTAATTAGTTGTTGAGCAAAGTCCACCAAGCTTACCGATTATTTATTGCACAGGTTCAACAATGGTTGCGAAGTAAAGAGAAAGATAAATGGAAACTCTCATTAATAAAAAGAAAAGTTACAAAGCAGAAAACATTTGCAACAAAATACATAACATAACTAAAAAGGCCCTCTTTAAGAACTAAATCTATTACATAGCTAAAAGGCACTTTCTATGGATTAGGCTTCCTTGCACATCCCTTATCCTTACATCTAATCCTTTGCCCAAAACAACCTCTAGAAGTTGACCAAACGTTTGTCAAGAAGGAAATGCAAGAGTGTTTATCACAATATCTAGAACTACGTCTTACATAGTGATCCCTCACAGATGCATATCTATGGAAGATGTAAGAACATGAAAAACTTTTTAGCTTCCAAACCATTCTCAGCTAGCTTTTGGATTATATATGTAGTAATCAAAGTTGCGAAAATTCAACCATAGCATGATCGGAAGAAGAATAGGGTAATTCTATAATCTTATCTGATTACATAAAATATTGGCATAAGGCCTAAAGGTGGGTTCATCAGAGAAATATAGTGAAATTAAAAACAAAGATGAAGAATCAGTGACAACACTTAAAAAATTCTAATGGAGACAAGAGGCTTTTCCTCGAAAATAAACTGCTATAAAAAACATATTCTATCATTAAAAAAATGAAAGTAAACATGACACAGACACACGTGTACACAAGCACGTGTCATAGAGAATCCCAATGACCTATCACTTGAAACGCCTTGCAATCTTAGCTGTAGAATACGAAAGAATGGACGACAAATGGCCAAAAAACTATCATACATTATATGAGTGAAAAGCAAGTCAAAAAAACGTTTTTCGAAATCATGTGTGAATTAACATAAAAATTATAAAATGTTCCATTTTAGCTCATAAATTAAATGCCAATAAATAAATGGGCCAAGTTATCAAGGAGATTCGTGGTCCCAAGACACCGAACAATTAAAAGTTCTAGATTTAAGATAAATAATAAAATCGAATTTCGAGAACTATTTGCTAATCCTCGCAATGTGATATGCGTATCTATCCCACCACATGCAAAGCATAGAGCGATACATGAGGAAAACGCAAGCATTGAAGGTTCACTACAAGCTGACTACATGTTAATAAAAAATATATGAGGATGAATGAAGAAAGCGCGACACTCTTAATAGAATTGATTATAAAGCTACCATATATCAACTTCTTAAATGTCTGAATTAGCCAAAAGACTGGAGGGAAATCTATAAGTACCCTCTCATTCAAAGAGAAAATCATGTAATTAAAATATTTTTCCTCTCAAATAGCTATTTTTCTCTCTTACTTCAAGTTTGAGATTGAAATTGCATAGCTTAAGAAGATTTATATCATGGATAGGTAAGAGAATTTATTGATTTGATTTTTACCATCAACATGCTTAATTTTGGGGCAATGCATGCATCAATAAATATGAAGTAATTTATGAATATTTACAAGTAACAATAATTTTGGAATTTCTACTATATTGGCCATCAATAATATTATTGTTCAGATTTGATCTTGTCATTATCTTGTTGGCACATCTGAGCATCAACAAGTTAGAAAAAAGAGATGATTGCTTCTGTCTTCTCCATACTGAAACAAAAAATGGACAAAACATCCGAAATTTCCAAAACAAAGTTAATTTTACCAACTTGATAACAACCATTGAATTAGCACCTAGTCGACAAACAAAAATTCTTGTTGACTAAAATTGGCTAATAATAGACCATGTCAAATTATCTACCCTCAACTTGAATTATAATTCTCCATTTATCTATTTTGTCCCACAAATACAGCTTAGTGTTAAACATCTGTATCCCCATTTCACAGCTATATGATTAAATTGAAGAAAAGCGAGAGTCCAAATCCAAACCACTTGCTAAAATTCAAAAAAATAAAAATTAAATTTGAATATGGTAAACATATGTACGAAGAAGAAGAGGAAAAACTATTTTAATCAGTAATTCAACTTTGGAACATCAAACATATAAATATCAATCAACTCATAAACTCCCACCAACCCCCGTAGAAAAAGTAAAGAAAGAAAAGAAAATGTTAGTTCATCATCTTTCTTCTAATAAAAGCAAAGAGGATATTTTTAAATACCTGCATCCTGAATATCTTGATCAAATTTCAATTGTGCGCATAATGAACATAAGAAATGATGAATGAGTGGAGTATGGATGCAAGGTACAGTGAATACCCATATTGAAATGGATTCTCAATCACCAAAAAGGAAGAAAAAGCAAACGATTTATCTAGTGAAAACAGTGAGAAAAAAATTCAAATGATAAAATGGAATGTGTGTAGCAATGAGAGTGCCCACAACATAACATTGTACACATTGTTAGAGACAAATTATCTAGTAGGAAAAATTGCCAAAACTATAAGAAATTGGTCGAGAATAGTTTTTCAAGAATTACCTCAAGAACTACCACATCTTTTGCTAACTATCAACCTATGGGCAAGAATCAATGAATCAGCAGCAGTGAATAACAACATGATGCACACAAATCTTTCTCTACCTGAAAATGAGAGAAGAGAAGCATACTATAACATTGACAGATTAAGTCCGAAGCTTTAATTGACTCAAAAGTAGCAGAGGCCTCAGATATCAAGTAGATAGGTTGACGAGCCTGTAGGCAAACACCTATATTGAAAGGGCACAACTCAGATCCATCAAAAAAAAAGATTTACATCGGGAAAAATTATTTCTTTGCTTTGAGTCTCCCTCTCATTCAACTTTTACAAAACCTACGGAAGTGGAATCCTCAACGATCTGAGCTACATCCGCATAAATATGAGCCAAAGTATATGATCTGAAAACCATGGAAAACCAGTGGTGGATAATTAGCTAGCAAATAACTAATTAAGACATCATGTCTATATTAGCAATGTCAAAACATTAAAAGTCTTTGGAGGGTATCACAATACCAGAAGTCATAGCTTGTTCAATTTTGAATATTTTAAAATGTGTAAATCAAGCAATGATGTTTTTAATTACATTGGTAGATTTCCAAGATATTTAGGACTTGGGATTTTCACCCCCAATATACGAAATAATCATAGAAATCGAGATCAACGCAGTGTAAAAATAGTAATAATAACACAAGAATGATAGGTAAGAGTCCATTACTATATGCAAGAACCTCCCAAGAGAGAGTAAAAGTTTGGGTATAGCAATCAGTCCACACACGACTAACAACCGATCATCGATCTATAAAGATCTCACCAAAATTACACCTTATCGACCCAAAGAACAAAAAGCCCTAAAAAGATTGCCTGAAAATAAACACCATACCCTACCAACACTACAGCCACATTCACACCAGACTGAAGGCCAAAAATCAAGACCAAGATCTGATTTCCAACATAGAATCTATAACCACAGATCTTATTTACAGAAATGAGAGGATTAGAGAGACCAAAATTACAAGAGAAAGAGCCAAAAACCAAGAGAACGAAAATGAATTGTTTTTCTTCCAATAGGGTCAACCTAAAGGCTTACACAAAACTATTTTAATCCACACCCGTGGATGTTAATTAACGGTCTAGAAGAAGAGGCAACAAATACAGATCCATGCTAAGGTAAATAAGCCAATGATTTTGTGCCACATGGACAAACAATATTTAAAACCGATTTTTCACTTTTAAAAGCACGTTTTGGGTCTCTGAAAAGACATTTTAAAATCTTCACCTTGTTTTCCCAAATCCCTATCTCTCTCTAATTGCTACATGCAGATGACGGTATTTCACCCTACAGCATCACCCTAGGTACCTGCAGAAGATTAATCTTTATCAATATGCAGGAAAGATAAACAAGTTATAAACTTACCAACGTCAGAATTTTGGTTCCTATATCAGATGGGTTCACATTGGTATAAATTTTTTCAAGTATAACCTCACCACATGCAATTTTCTCACGTATGAACTGGTACTTCATCTCAATATGCTTAGATCTCTCATGATAAACAAGATTTATACATAAAAGCAAAGCACTTTGACTATTAGTGAAAATAATGGGTGACTCTTGTAAAAGTTTCAATTTTTCCAAAATGCCGTTTAACTAGATACATTCTTTTACAGATTTGATTATTACCACATATTTAGCCTCCATGCTGGATACTATTACAATAGATTGAAGTTGTTACTTCTAGGTAATGCAATTATCACTAAGTGTGAAGAAATAGGCGGTAGTAAACTTTCATTGGTTTTTATCCCCAAAAAAATCCAAGTCTACATATCCCTTTAAAGAAAGCTATTCTGATCTCTTTTCAAACACCAATCCCTTATTTAATGTCCCGGCTACGTATCTTAGAAGCCATTTTAACCCCGCCTAATCAGGTTTTCCTAACTTAAAAGATACTTACAACATAAGCCAAATCAAGCCTAGTAGTAATCATAGAAAACATGATTGATCCTATGGCATTAGCATATGGGATATTCTTCATTTCTTTCATTTCATTTTCAGTTTTAGGTGATTGACATGATGATAGATTCATATGGGCTGCAAGAGGTACATTAACATGCTTAGTTCTTTCATGCCAAATTTGGTTATAACTTTGTGCAAATAAGAACTTTGTGTTATAGTTAAAATATTCTCGTGGCTATTTCTTTTAATAACAATTCCCAAAATTTTCTTGGCATTTACCAAGTCTTTCATATTAAATTCAGACTTTAAAAGCTTTTTAAGTCTCAAAATTTCAACTTTGTTAGAGCTAGTCTAGCATGTCATCATAAATAAACTTCACTACCAGCCCTAGTATTATTGTAGTATAAACAGTGATCTTATTCACTTCTTTTGAAACCAATCTTCAACATATATGTGTTAAATCTAATGTACCATTGCTTTGGGCTTGGTTTGAGCCCGTACAACAATTTTTGTAACTTGCAAACATAATCTTCCTTTTCCTTCACTTGAAACCCTTGGGGTTGACTTATATAGATATCCTAATCTAACTCACCATGTAAAAAAGATGTCTAGACATCTAATTATACAAGTTCCCAATTGAATCGAACAACTAGTGCAAGAATCAATCTTATTCTTGTATTCAAAAACCAATGAGAAGATCTCATTATAGTCAACACCCTCCTTTTGTATAAAGCCTTTGGTTACAAGCCTAGCTTTATATTTCAAAGGGCCAGAAGAAATAATCCCATCCTCTAATTTGAAAATCCATTTACATTGAACAACTCTTTGATTTTTAGGTTTCTTTACTGATTTTGATGTGTTGTTTTCAAGTAAAGATTTCATTTCTTCTTTCATTACATCTTTCCATTTTTCAAATTTAGAGCTATTCATAGCCTCTTCATAAGATGAAGGTTTTGAGTACTCTAAAGATTCACCTGAGATAAGGGCAAAGTCAGTCAAGTTATTTATTTCGTATCTTGGATTTTGTTTGACTTGCCTCCTTTCCCTATCTCCAACCAATTGATAATCTAGAACACTTGTCTCAATGGTGGGATCATTTAGGCTTTCAATTTTGGTCTCAACTTCAGTTTGAGATAGACCTTCTTCACCTTCATCCGTATTAGCAACATTATCATCAAGTTGTTGAACATCCCACTTCAATATTTTCATGTTGAGGGGGGTTTAACCTTGCTAGCTTTACCTCACTCTGTGAAGTAGTCTCTTTAATTTGCTCTTTTGAATTATCAATTGTATTATTTATACATGGCATTTCAGATTCATTAAATACTACATTTCTATTATAATGATCTTAATACCTTGTACACCCAACACCCACAATCTGTACCATTTCACACCTTCTGGGTATCCAAGAATAGCACACTTAGGGTCTAACTTTTCGTAAATCCAATGTGCATATACTGCACATCCAAATACAAAATGTGAGAAAATTTTGGTTTGACATTTTGCTATTGTACGGATTTAAATATTCGAGAATGTGCCACTTTCATGCTATTAAATGCAGATGTATTAATTGTATAGAATTCTTTCCATTGTAATATCAACTTTTTAGTTATGAGTAATGATCCGAGATTCATTGTGTCATATGGACAAAAGTTTATTCATGTGGATGACAAATAAAAGTGGAGAGGGGATAAAACTACCCACAAGATACAAGCGATTGAGATATGAATGTACCCTACGAATTAGAAAATGTACTTACTGTGGTAGAGTTGGCTATAATGGGACCACATGTTCTAACCTCATTGTAACACCACACATGTACATAGGCTTGATATCTGACACCAGATGAAGTTGTATTTTGCATGACGAATGATAGCGTTGTACATTTTAAAGTTATTTCATCATTTTTGTTTCATTATCATTTGCAAACATTAGTCATGTAGTAGCAATAATTTCACAGAAAAGTTCTCACATAGACAAATCACTTCATTATATTTTGGCAATTCGACTGTTAGTCCTGACAGAATACTTCTGTTCCTAATTTGTTCATGGTTTTTTTTGTATGTCACAATGCTGACGTTATACATTTTGCATATATATTATCACTGAAATTGCTTTACCATTTGATGACATTAATCGCGTTTAATTTCACAAGCAAAATATTTCATCAAATCCAGAAAGTCAAACTGTAGGTCCTGACAGAAGATTCCTGTTATTGTCGACAGTTGGTTGTAAACTTGACTACAAATAAGACGCAAAAGGATATGTTATTGAACAACATTCGGTTAAGACTCTACCGTATGAATCCATGACAACACTAGAATATAAGCCCCCGTTTGGCCCCCATTTTTGGTAATGAAAATAGGGGGAATAGTATTTTGTTGAAAAAATGAGTGGTTGAAAAAGAAGAAATTTTTTTCGATTTACGTGTAATATTATTTTATGTAAGATTGTGTGATTGAAAATAGGAGAGAGAAAAATAGAATGTAATGGAATATAATTTAATGGGGATCAAACAAGGGCTAAAATTATTGCCAATGACATACGAAAATTTTGTCCACATATTTGGTCATCGAATTATGGTCATTTAGTATATGACCATCAAATAGTATTTATCAAGTATTAACAAACTTCCCAAGGCACTAATTCTTAACTTTTTTCTCCCTCTCTTGGTGTATGGAGAGTAAATGTTGTAGAAAAGCCAATGCATGTAGATCGTGGTCTCTTTGTGTGTATATATATATGTGTGTGTGTGTATATATATATATATACCTCCTTGTTTTCACTGGGCAATGGACCCTCCAAGTCATTCGGGACACACACCTTCTGTCAAGAATAATTGAAACGAACTATCAGGAACGATAATTCATCGCAACAAATATGTCACATAATTGATCTGTAGAGTAGTCATCCATTGAAAATTCATAATTGTAGAAACTTTCATTTTAACAAATTAAACAGTTCACTTAAACATTATAACATAGAGAACAAATACGATAAGATATCTCAGATGTATATAAATTTTAAAAATCAACACTTCTACGTGCAGGGCAAGGAAATGACAAACTAAACCATCCGGGTATGTACCTTCGGATTGACACCTCCATACGAAACAATCAAATTTCAAATGATAAGATTGAGAAATTTGAACAATTGGGCATGTAATGCCACGGTCCATACGGATCAAAACATCACCCAAATGATTGTACCTTAGTAGTAAACTTAAAATTTATATAACGGTTTCATTTAATTAAATATACTTTCAGTGGAAAGCATAAAGATTTAATTTAAAAAGTTATATTTATCTTTTTGTTTTTACAATTTAATACTAAAAGAAACAATTAAAAAAATATCTATAGAATGATTTTCATGCATATATCTATTGTTGACGTGAACAATAAAGGCAGGAAATGAAAGAAAAAATATTGCTTTTTTACTTTCTATCTCAAGCAGCAATTATCAAATAAATACGTTTGCATAGCTATCGACTCCAAAACTTCATGAAATCTTAATGCAAGGTAGGAAACTCCTTATAATATGATATAACCAAAAATCAACTTCCATCGGTAACATATGAGTTATTAAAATATTTTTTAAAATCCTGCAGTGACTCGGTTGGAAGGTAAATTGGTACAATTCACTTAAAATGGTATATAAAATTACATTTAAATCGCTAACACGTTTTTTTTGTAAACTGTGATTCGAAAGATAATTTCTAGAACACGTATCTACTTGAAAAACATAATTTAGTCATAAAGAAGTGTTCATAGAATAGTTCACATACCACGTCCATAGAAATCTATTTAAAAGTAAACGTAAATATTTTCATAATCTAATTAAAGACGTTAAATCACCGGCCTCTCCAGGCATATTGCATTTTCATCTACCATCATCCACACTTCCAAGCAAAATCAATCAATCTGTAGGAAGAGGATTAACCCATGAGTTTGAAACTTAATAGATATCATTGGTGCATTTCATTATCAAATTAGAAATTTCGAACTCATATTGTCGTACGTAGATGGATTTCCGACAAAATTCGATTTTCTATAGCATTATCATAACACGTAGAGCTAGAAAATGATCATTCAAACTATAGTAGTGCCAAAGCACCGAACTCGGAGGTACCAATTCATTAAAACTTTTATCGAAA